TTTTTTTTTTTTTTTTTGTGGAACCGGGGATTGAACTCAGGCCCTTGCGCTTGCCAGGGAAGCGCTTATTCCACTGAGCCATCTCCCCAGCCCTAAAAATTTTATTTTCTTTTTTTTTTTTTTTCTACAGTTTTATTGATAAACATATAGCAATGTAAAAATTTTATTTTCATAAATGCGTGTGACCCCTTTTCTTCCTCCCTCCTGCTGCTACCCGCCCTCCTCACACAGTTGTATCCTTTCTGCTCGCATGCTGCCTTTGTGTGCTCAGGAGAGGAAGCTGCCCTTCTCATCTCTGAGACTGCCTGTTTTCTGTAACACCATGCCCTCCAGGGCCCTCCGTAACTTGGCTGCTCTTTCTGGTTCCAAACTCCATGCTGTGTCACCTGCCCTGCTTTCTCTGTCTGCTCCTCCACTGACAGTGCCTCTGCCAATTCTGTTCTTAGCTCCTGCGGATTGTGCCACAGTGAACATGCGTGTGCAGCCACTGCTAGTGTGCTGCCTTTCTTTTTTATTATTTTTTTTATGTATTTAGTACAGGGTCTCACTGTGTAAGTCAGACAGGTAGTGATCCTCCTGTTTTCTTTTTCTTTTTTCTTTTTTCTTTTTTTTTTTAATGGAACCAGGGATTGAACTCAAGCCCTTGCACTTGCCAAGCAAGCACTTAGTCTACTGAGCCATCCCCCTGGCCCCTGATCCTCCTGTTTTCAACCTCCCAAGTGCTGGGATTACAGGCATGCGCCACCACGCCCAGTCTCAGTTGCCATCTCAGCTCACCCTGGGGCACAGCTGGCATGGCAGGCTGGGGGTCAAACTCCCGGCCCCCGCACCTGCCTAAGTAGGCGCTTTAGTCCACTGAGCTATCTGGCTGGCCTTAGTGTGCTGCATTTCATTCCATAGGGTACCTGCTTTTCCAGCTCTGTTTGCCAGAGAGGCTTTTTTCATGTGTACTTTTGGCCTCTTTATCAAGAATCAGATGACTCAGTTTCCTCCTCCTCTGATTGCCAACAGCCTGTTTGCCAGCCTGCTCTGTTATGGTGGCTATCAGCCCCAGCATTGAGATAAGTGATGATACCAGGCTATGACCTAGATTTATTTTGTATTCCGAAGCATTATGCTGAATATTTGGAAAAGGTGTTTATTCCTCATGGACTAATTATGGACAGGACTGAAAGGCTTGCTCGAGATGTGATGAAGGAGATGGGAGGCCATCACATTGTAGCTCTCTGTGTTCTCAAAGGGGGATATAAATTATTTGCTGATCTGCTGGATTACATTAAAGCACTGAATAGAAATTGCGATAAATTCATTCCTATGACTGTAGATTTTATCAGACTCAAAAACTACTGTAATGACAAATCAATAGGGGACATAAAAGTAATTGGTGGATGGCCAGGGAGATAGCTCAGTAGAATAAGCACTTGCCTGGCAAGTGCAAGGTCCTGAGTTCAGTCCCCAGTACCACAAAAAAACAAAACAGAACAACAACAACAAAAAAAGTAATAGGTGGAGATGATCTTTCAACTTTAACTGGAAAGAATGTCTTGATTGTTGAGGATATAATGGACACTGGCAAAACAATGCAAACATTGGTTAAGCAGAATAATCCAAAGATGGTCAAGGTCGCAAGCTTGCTAGTGAAAAGACCCCTTGAAGTGTTGGATATAGGCCAGACTGTGTTGGAGTTGAAATTCCAAACAAGTTTATTGTTGGGCATGCCCTTGACTATAGTGAATACTTCCGGGACTTGAATCACATTTGCGTCGTTAGTGAAACTGCAAAAGCCAAATAGAAAGCCTAAGATGAGAGTTCAAGGTGACTCAAGAAACACTGGGAGCCCCATTGATATCTCCAGCAGAATTATTGGATGCTCTAGTTTTGTGGCCATCTGCTTGGCAAAGCTTTCTGCATGAATCTTCTAAGAATTTTATCTGTTTTGTATCTTAGAAATGTCAGTTGCTACGTTCTTAAGCTTTTTATTTGCACCGTGAGCCTGCAGACTGTCAGTTCCCTTTGGGTGGGTTCATTTACTTGTGAATGAAAAAAAAACCTCAGACTATGAAGTAAGAATATTGAAATTATAAGAAATGTTTAAAGAAAAAATATTAGTTTTTTAATTGGTATTTTAATTTTTGGTTTTTAAAAATTTTTTTTTAATTTTTATTTTATTTATTTTTTATGTGTGTGTGTGTGTGTGTGTGTGTGTGTGTGTGTGTGTGGCCAGCTCAGCCCACCAGGGGGCGGGACTGGCTGGCATGTGGTGCTGGGGGATTGAACCGCGGTCCCTGTGCTTTGCTAAGCTTGTTCTAAGTAGGTGCTTTAGACCACTGAGCCATCTCGCCAGCCCATGTATTTTAATTTTTGTATATTCAGGAAAGAACAGAAATGATTAAATATTGTGCATTATATTACCATGTACTTAGAAAAATCAGAAAGGGTCACTTTTTTCATTCATAATGGTGACAGCATCTGTGAGGTTTTATTCAGTTGAAAAAAAAAGTCTTGGTAGTATTGACTTTTTCCTGACTAGTTTAATTTCCCATTAATCTTTGTCAACAGCTTCTTTTAAATGCAAATAAATAAATTTTAAAAATTAAAAAAAAAAAAATCAGATGACTGTGGTGGTGTGGGTTTGTCTCTGTGTCCTCCCTCCTGTTCTGTTGGTCTCTATGTCTGTCTTTGTGGCAGTACCATGCTGATTTGTTGCTGCAGCTTTGTCAGGGTGTTGTGAACCCTCTAGCTTTGCTGTTTTTGTTCAGGTTGGCTTTGAATATTCTGGCTATTTGCTATTCTATTTGTTTGTTTGTTTGCTATTCTTTTTTTTTTTTTTTTTTTTTTTGGCGGAACCAGGGATTGAACTCAGGCCCTTGTGCTTTCCAGGGAAGCACTTATTCTACTGAGCCATCTCCCCAGCCCCTTGCTGTTCTTTTTAACTGTTTTGCTTTCTTTACAGGGTTTCAGACAAAATCAAAAAGAAGGGAGGGGCTCACAATTCAATTGAGTAAGTTTGCCTTCATTATATCTTTTGTATAAATTTTATAATTTGAGCCAACATGGTAGTGCATGCCTATAATCTCAACATTCAGGAGGCTGAGGCAGAAGGATTGTGGCAAATTTGAGCCCGGCCTGGGCTACATAATGAGTTCGAGACCTCTGAACCACATTTCAAAAAAAAAAAAAAAAAAAATTATGATTCATAGAAAACAAATGATTTTGACCATTTAAAAATTGAAATATTGAAAGCCTCATTCTGGATTAGAATGGCCACTGTTGATTGGTGTCCA